ACAACAACAATAATAATAATATAACAACAATAATAATAATACAATAATTATAATAATTATAATAATACTAATTACAATAATAATAAGTCATTCATTGGAACACTTACATTAAAATATACAATTAAAAATTAATAATATTTAAAATATATATAATTAAACACGATTAATAACTGTATGTTATTGTTTAATTGTAAGTTACTGAATGAATTTTTTTATAAATTAGCAAGGAATTCGATTTTATTCATTTTTGTATTCCTACTACCCATGTGTCTTCACATCTATTGAGGCAGGTTATTTAAGTTGTGCAATCCTGCATTGTATAATGACAACAGAGCTGAACCTTGACACGATTAATTCATGCATTTGAGACTATTATTATTGACTTATTTATTTACTTTTATTTGGATTTAAACAGTCTCAAATTTGAAATAATGTCAAAATTACAATTAAATTAAAATGTTTTTAGTCAAGAAATGCACCATTTTAGTGCATATTGCATATATTTTTCATTTATAGTCTTGTATTTTCTATTATATTTTAAAATATTCTTATTTTTGTGATTCTTGTTATTGTTGTTGCTTTTACACTTCTGTACTCTTTGCACTACATTCCCCTATGCTGCTGTATCTAATTTGAATTTCTCCTACAGGGGATCATTAAAGGTACATCTTATCTTAGTTATTAATATTGAATTTCAAAATTATCAAATTATTTAGCATTTTTACTTTTATTAATATACTTGCTCTCTTTTACTAAAATAACTTTATCTTCATCTTTGGCAAGGTGTCGAATGCATATCCTCCCTCTATGTATTGTATGGATCCATGTTTTCTAGCTTGCAGCCTTTTTCACTGCTTTTATTTTGGCACACTGTTACTGTCACTTGTTTATCAGTGAATCATTGGCAGGATTGTGCGTCACCAAGAGACAAACAGAACAAGGACCCACACATTATTAAAATAAACTGCTAGAGGTTAAAATCCACAGGGTACCTTTAAGAACTGTCCTTTGTTTTAAATTTAAAGCTACATTCATATATATTTTTTTGAATTTCACATTTCTGGCCACCTGACTTAACATACGTGGAATATTCACTGCTGTTTAAACTGCTGGTTTGTGATCCACCCCTATGAAAAATATCTGAGGTTTTAGTTTATAGATGCTCACAGTGCTGGAGTAATTATTAATTGTAAAACACATTACACTTAGTTACGCAACAGTCCCAACAATACTCCACCCACTGACTATTAAACACGTGAACGTGCTGATAGGAGGCTAATCTATGTTCAAGATGAGAGGAGTTTGGTGGTATTAATTACCACATCGACCTCAAGTTTGGTAAAACTGGAGACTTTTCCTAAATTTACTAATCTCAAAAGATATAACTAACTACTTTGTTTATTCTATAACTTCTGGAAATTAATTATTTTCATTCTAACCTGTTAGATAAAGTTCTTTAGTCACTTTGCAAGCTTCAATTTCCATTTTGATATAATTCAACACAAGGGCTAGAAATTTATTTTATTTTCTAAAATTGATGAGACAGGTCTACAGCATGCACAATGCTGTTTCTATGAAACGGGTTAATTTATTGATTATGCAGCTGCTGTGTTTAAAATCCAGTGTCCTCACTTTCCAAACACTATTATGACCTTGGATTAAAGGCTTTAAATTCCAATTTCATAAGACCACTTAAAAAATGAAGATGGGTTTAATGCAACAACCAACTCATAAACAGTGGTGAGAGAAAGTCCTCTTATTATTTTCCATGAGATTTTTGGAAGAAGTATGAAGAGTGTCAAATGTTCTTAGTAATAGCGTCCTCGACTTTTGACAGGTTGATTTGTTTATTCGATAGGACAGCTCAAGATGGAAAGGCAAAGAGAGAGAGAGAAAGGGGAGGTCTGTATTTTTGTGGTGTGAATTATTCAAGTAATTTTCCTGAGTGTCATATTCAAGTTGTCATCAATATTAAAAAAATATAGAATTTTATTCAATTTACTCAAATTCATGTGGTCATCATTTGAAATGTTAATTTTTAGCCACCACCTGGAGTGAAAACATCGCTGGAAAATGAGGGCAGGTTTAACTCAACCAACTCATCAACCTAGAGTGTGTATCACACTGCTGATATTTATATGAAAAGAGGTTAATTTTTTGATTCATTTGCTGCTTTGTTTGAAGTTCAAAGTCAACGTTCTTGCAGGAACAAGCAGGAAACACTGTTGTGTCATTGAATTGAGGTAAATGTGTTGAATTTTCTTATTAAAGTGCAATGCCATTCGGTTTCAGGTAGAGAAACCTGGTGTTCAGTGGCTGCGAGGTACCATAAAGCCAATTGAAAATTTCTTCTGGGTTCGACCACACCTAAAAGGACCCGAGGTAAGACACTGTTCAGAACTTAAGGACAACAAAATACATAAATAGTAACCTTAAATTTTACATATTTTTAATTTGATGTTGCTAATTAAATCTGAAAACATAGCTATGAAAGCTGTGCCACGTACATACTGTATGTGTGCATCCAAAACCAGGATGTTGGCAGTTTACTACAAATAATTCAAATTAGCATTTTAGCTTGAAAATTAGTCGTTCTAAATGGAAGCTGTAAACACCCAACAGGTAGGCGCTTTAGAGTATCACTATTCCACCATTTGCAAACAGAAACTACCAACGCGGACTATTGATATTACAACAGTTCTTTTGAGGTACAGAATGTAACGGACTCCACCTACTCACCATGGACACTATTAAAGCAGAATGTATGAGCAAATCGGAGGGGCTAATTTCGTTCAAGATGAGAGGGATTATACTACTGTGTTGGTGGGATCCTATTCTGGCAGCCTTGGTAAAGATAGTGTGGTAGAATTGGGGATTTCTCAGATTGGACCTGAAAAGAATACTTAAAAACTGCTATTGTTTTGGACATTTTCATGTGTTATGTCTATATGGTATTACTCTAACCTACACTTTGCAACCAACATTGAATTTCGTACTTAGCTGAAAAGGTAGTCTACATTAGGTCCTTCAGATAATATGTTAGTGTGCTGTAGTATTTAACATTGTAGGTTGTTGCTCAACCATCCAGTAATTGTTTAGATACAGGCTGTAGAATGAGTGAATAAACTGGATTTTTATCATACTGCTGTTGTTCTATGAACAAAGTCTTTATTGACTTGACTTATTTGAAACTCTTATATCAATGCCTTGCGGTAACAGAAGTATACAACAAAAGGCAAAAGGAGTATAACAACCAATGTTGTCTCTTTGTTAGGTTGTGTATTTTTTTAATTCAAGTGCTATATATTTTAATTGTCAGTTGTCTGACGGACACACGCGCGCACCCACGCCAAATATAATAGCAAATACAAGGTAGGAAAAAGGTAGAAGCAGGAAGAAATGATTTTTAGCTCCAACATATGTTCCAGTAGACGTCTTTTAAAAGCATCTTAAAACACATTTACTTCTTTGGCTTTTCTTTATATCATTTGTTTTTTGACTTAACTTTTTTTATTGTTATAATATTCTTGTCTATTTTTAGTCTCCCATTTCTCATTTTATTCTCTCTAAAACTAAACTGCTGTGGCAAATGACTACATGAAGTTTGGTAGTTTCCTTGCCAATGACAAAATTGACAACATTTATTGTTAGACTTTAATGTTTGCTGTGAAGATTACACCATGAAGCAAAGTCAGAAGTGTCCCCTAATTCATTGTCATACCAAATAGAATGTAAGTATTTTGGAACTGCCTAAGCAAACCTCAGATAGGTAACACCTAAATCAAAAATGTTAATGTTATTTTCCCCCTGTATCCAGCCTGCCTCTCAGCCGCACTAGCTTAACTAGTTCTGCGATTAGGTTAAGCAGCCGGTCAGTGCTCAAGTTTGTGGAATATTGATTTAAATGTTTGTTTCACACCCACCAAAAAGTGTCGTTATTCCGAACAGACAGGAACAGATCTTGAAGAAGAGATTCTGGATAACAGGGAAACAATAATAATTTTTTGAATGTTTGTTTCATAAATGAGACTAGCTAGTGTGTACCTCAAATAATAAGTTCATCTTACAGATACATATCCCATGGGTTGGAGAACCAGCGCCACAGGTTGCAACAGTTTAATGTAGGCTACCGTGACTGACAGGTGACTGTGAAAACACACATGGTACTAGAGA